GTAAGTTGGAAAGGGCGTGTATCATGCTCTTCATAGTTTACAAGCCATGAGTCAAGGCCTAGGAGCGCATTTGCCCTTTGTCTATGATAATCCCTGTCTCATTCCTTTCTCAAAGATTTTACTCCCTTAAAGGGTACTGCTTTTTTGGAGGTCTCTGGCTGTCCCAACAGTGTAAGCAAACAAAAAAGTGAAATGTTTTTATCACCTATTCCCCATAATCACAAATGTGCATAAAATGCATATGCATATGCATATTGTCAAAGATTTGAAATAAGTGATTGATATAGCAATTTTTTCTGTGTAAAAACATTTCTGCAATATTATTACATTGTCTGTTGAAAGTTGTCAGGTTACAAAAGTCAATGACCAGAAGGCTTGTTGTTCCTGAAGGTGAACTAAGGACTCCCAAGAATGTGTTGTGGGTCAAGGAGGAGGGAAGCTGGCCACCTTCCTTATCTCCAGTCTTTAGGAGGAGATCAAAGCAGGACAGCCTTGTTTGTGAAGTCAAGCCATGTACTCAAAACATGTGAAGGAACCATCTGTGCCCTCAGCATGCCATCTATCCCGCAGGTGCTTCCTCCTGCTTGTGGGTGGGTGTGGTTCTCCTTATATCCTAACCCGCCACAGCCCACGAGTGTGTCCCTAATAAATATCCAAACCCTCTCTGTTGAATCCTCCAAGTTCTTTCTCTGGAATCAGTATAATAGCATGCTGGGGGATTTTCAAACCTGGGGTTGAACAGAGGTATATGTAAGGTCTAGGGATCTAAAGTTTAGGTCTCAGGGTAGAGCACTTGCCTGCATGAGCAAGCCCTGGGCTTCATCCTAGAACTGCAATTTAAAAACAAAGTTATGAATAAATATAGATTATTAAGGAGAAGTGGCGGAACCAGGGCCTCACACATGGGAGGCAAGTGCTCTACCATTAAGCTATACCCCAGTCCTATAAAATTATTTATTAAGAAAGGATCTTGGTGCTGTGGCTCAGCGGTAGAGCACTCGTCTAGCATGTGCAAGGCCCTGGGTTCGATCCTCAGTACCACATAAATAAATAAAATAAAGGTATTATGTTCAACTACTGCTTTTTTTTTTTTTAAAGAGAGAGTGAGAGGGGGGGACAGAGAGAGAGAGAGAGAATTTTAATATTTATTTTTTCTTAGTTCTCAGCAGACACAACATCTTTGTTTGTATGTGGTGCTGAGGATCGAACCTGGGCCGCACGCACGCTAGGCGAGCACGCTACTGTTTGAGCCACGTCCCCAGCCCTGTTCAACTACTTCTAAAAAATAAAATTTAAAAAAAAAGGATCTTATGGGATGGGGTTGTAGCTCAGTGGTAGAGCGCTTGTCTTGTATGTGTGAGGGTTCAATCCTCAGCACCACATAAAAATAAATGAAATAAGGATATTGTGTCCATCTACAATTAAAAAAAATATTTAGAAAAAAAAAAGAAAAGATCTTATGGGGCTGGGGATATAGCTCAGTTGGTAGAATGCTTGCCTCACATGACAAGACCCTGGGTTCAATCCCCAGCACCACCAAAAAAAAAAAAAAGGATCTCATAGGCTGGGGTTGTGGGTCAGTGGTACAGCTCTTGCCTAGCATGTGTGAGGCACTGAGTTCAATTCTCAGCACTGCATAAAAATAAATGGATAAAATAAAGGTTCATCAATGCCTTTTAAAAAAAAGAAAAGAAAAGAAATAATTAGTTGCTAAGATAGAGGCTGGCCTGTACCTTGTGATCAACTTCAGCCTCCCAAGTAAACTGGGATTTCAGGCAGGCATCACTGTGCCTGGTTTAAACCTTTTTATAACTTGAATTTGTGCCATGTGACTATATTAAGGAAAACACACACACACCCGAGAGTCTTATAGGGCCAGAAGGTGACATTAATATTATGAATGAGGAAACAGGTAATTGGTTCTACTTTATTAGCTGTAAAGACAATAGGAAAGAACCTAGCCCTGTTTTATTTTGGAGCACAGAAAATTGCCTATTTAAAAAAATTATTTTTTAGTTGTAGATGGTCACAATATCTTTATTTTTATTTTATTTTTATGTGATGCCAAGGAACGAACCCAGGGCCTCACATGTGCAAGGCAAACACTCTACCACTGAGCTACAACCCCAGCCCCAAAAACTGCCTATTTATTTAAGACATTTCCATGAGCTAAATTGCTGTTATTAAATGTTCCTGTTATTTGTGATCCCTATATTTTTGTGAAGAGATTTAAAATTAGGCTGTTCAGCCTTTTCCACAAATGTATAATAAATGCAGATGATGGCTTTGTTAGAACTTTAGGCATTTTATTAGTTTTTAATTTTTCTTTTTTTTGAGATAGGGTCTTGCTATGTTGTCCAGGCTAGTATCAAATTATGGGTTTAAGGGATCATCCTGCTTCAGCCTCCTGAGTAGCTAGAATAAGTAGGTGTGCACCACAGGGCCAGGCTTACCTTTTCCTTTTTAACTTCTCAAAATCTTGATGTCTGATTACTAGACTCTTTTTGTGTGTGGTGCTGGGGATTGAACTCAGGGCCTTGTGCATGTGGGGTAGACACTCTACCAACTTGCTATATGCCCATCCCTACCTAGACTCTTCCTTGTGAGGGGTGCTAGGGATTGAATGTAGGACTGCTCTACCACTGAGCTATATCCCCAGCCTTTTTGATTTATTTCTTTTGAGACAGGGTCTAAGTAGCTGAGGCTGGCTTCAAACTTGTGGTCCTCAGCCTCCTGAGTGGCTGAGATCACCGATGTGTCCACAGTCCCTATATTTTTTCCAGTACTCTTCCCACAGGATTTATTCCAGTCTTCTAAAGAAGTCAGCAAACTATGGCCTGAGGCCAATTCAACTTGTTTTTGTTTAGTCCTTTACAACTAAAAATAGTTTTGACATTTCTACATGGTTGAAAGAATAAACAAAAGAATATTATGAAATTCAAATTTCAGTGCCCATAAATAATTTTATTGGAACATGGCCATCATGGTTATTCTTTTTATGAACCGTATTATCTATGGCTGCTTTCATGCTCCTTTGTCAGGCTCAAGGAGGTTCACCATAAAAATCGGAAATATTTGCTATCTGGTCCTTCACAGAAAGTCTGCTGACCCCTGTGCTAAAGGGCTCTGAATGAGAGCCTCACAGAGCCACTGCTGTTTGGTGTGATAGACTCACTGCATTAATAGCGCCTGTTTTTGATCACTCTTTCTTGTATCTATGCCTTTTTTTCCCTCTTTGGTGCAGGGGATTGAATCCAGGCCCCTGAGCATCCCAAGCACATGCTCTTCCACTGAGCTCCACTCCTGCCCTTAGCCATACCTTCTGTCTAGAATCTTGTATTACTTTCCACATAGGCTCAGTCACATGACTTGCTTTGCCCAGTGGGAGTCTAAGCAGAGGCTCACAATGGTATTGCACACTGGAGATTTTTCTCTCCTGCTCCTCTGCCTCTGTGGTGTGAACAGGCTAGTCAGCTGTACGACGAAATGACAGCTGAGTAACCTGTCATTTCACCTGAGGTCATCATGGGTTAGCCAACAGTTAAGGACCTCAAGATCATCACAACCGCCTAGCCCACCCACAGCTGACCACAGACAGACATGTGAGCAGGTCCAGCAGAAACCACCCAGCCCCAGCCCAGATCAGCTGAACCCCAAGACTCTGGAGCCAGGGAACTGTTTTTTACTGTATCCCACTTAAGTCTGCCAGTGGTTTGTCACACATTATTTTGCCACCAGAGAATAGCACATGAATTTTTATTTTTACTGTTTTTTTTTTTTTTAGTACAGGGGATTGAACCCAGGGGTACTTTACCTCTGATATTGAAGAATGGTAACATGCTCTGGCACACTTATATTCT